AAGAAACACTTAGCAAGACTAGGAACCCTTAGAGGGAAGAAACACTTAGCAAGACTAGGAACCCTTGGAGGGAAGAAACACTTAGCAACACTAGGAACCCTTGGAGGGAAGAAACACTTAGCAACACTAGGAACCCTTGGAGGGAAGAAACACTTAGCAACACTAGGAACCCTTGGAGGGAAGAAACACTACCCAGATTCAGTTCCTTCCAGGAGATTTGAAAGATGTCATGTTTGGGTCCAACTAGGGGGTTTGCTGGGTGGTGGTTGCACTGCTCGGACCGGTGATTGGGGACCGACTGCTTCCACTGGGGGACCAGGTGACGGCTGGGTGACGGCCGATCGATTGAAGAGTTGGCTAGTGTCCTTCGACTGGAGCCAGAGCACCAGTTGGTGATTTCCAGGCTTTCAAAACCAAAACGTGTTCACAAGATTTCACAAGGTCAAGTATGGTCAATGTCAAGTCGTATGAATCAGACGCTCCTGAATCAACCCATGTGTTGTGGAAACAGTTCATTGTTCTTCTTATCGCGTCTTCCGAAGCGTACGATCGATCGCAGGAATACGTCCCCTTCCCCGAGCCTTTGCCGCTCTTGGGCAAGGCGCTTCGGTTGCAAAGTGTGGGGGCAGGGCGGCAGGGACAGGTTCGTAGCAGGACATCAGGAATGAGGTCTACCAAGCAAACAATTGCATGTTGACTGTTAGATATCCAGTGGCATGCACACTCACAAAATGTGGTCTTTTTCAGGGCGTGGTGCCCATGTTTTTGGAACTTTGAGGTGGAATCCTATCTGGACAAATGCATCGAGTGGTTCCAGAAGGCCCTGAAGTTCTTCGCCAAGCAGGCAAGAATTCGGGTGAACGCCGGCGTTGGGTCTCGGGCTGTATGGAATCCTGTGGGCGAGAACTGCCGCTTGCAGCTGTTGAAGAATGTTCCACAAGACCATCCAGGTAGGCAAGGCCAGTGGCAAGCGACACCCACACCTGCGACACCGGCAGAAAACATGGGCAATCTTGGGCAATACATTGCAATTCCTTCATCAGTCGTTGCTTTCTATAGAGTCTTGCAGTTGACTTCTCCGCAGGACAAGGAGAAGTACTTCACCGAGGGCTGCACCTCGGGAAAAGACCGAACATCCAGACATGCAGGGCATCGATATGTGGAGGTCGCCTGCACGTGGTTTTTACATGGTTTTCCAACATCCCTGCAGAACGTTCAAGGAGGTTGAGTCAAGATTGTAGTGGACCTGTACTCGCTGCCAAGTCCTATCCACTTCTTGGGTTTGTTCCGCATGGTCAGATTTTGTGAGGAGCTTCTGATCGTGTTTGTACCCCAATGGTATAATATATACGGAGAGGTGCTATTGTCTAAAAGCGTCACTTATCTCCAAACAGCAAACCTTGCTGTCCAGCATGTTCTACTGGTCGGTGGATCCAGGTGAGTTCTGCAACTATAATGTTTGGCCCACCAGCTGATAGTTATATACCAAACTCAGACCCTCAAGAAGACATAGAAACACAAACAAAAAAATAGTTGTTTTTCCGCACAAGTCCAAACAACACAACAAGCGAACCCACGTCTCGCCTTCCTTGGCCAGCAAGGCATGGACGATGGCTTCAAGCGAGGCGAATTCATTGCCAGCAGCCAAGCAGCGCAATGTGCATTGCTGGTGCAGTCCCTGGGCAGAAGGGCACCAAACGAAGTTGCGTGGTGGGGTTGAAGTGGCGGTTGCAACACGCTGAACCGTGAATTTGGGAGCGGGAAGTAGTGCAGGAAATTATGCAGTGAACATGTCCTTTCTTTGCAAGGCCAATATGTTCCGAAACCGCACCCAGAATCACTGCGGACTGAGTGCGACTGCAGTGACACGCACATCTGTGTAACGAGACATTCACTTCTCGACAACCAATGTGTTGGTATATTCTTAAAGACTCCGCTACATTTCAGATGGGCCTTGATGAAGGCCTTCAACATTGCACCCCTTCATTTTGAGACAAAACGTGACAACCTTCAGTTTCCCCAAGATCACCTGGAGCTCCTTCTTGAAGCTGCTTCAGCACATGCAAAGCGATGCAAACACTAACCCACCGGGGCAGGCTCATCACGTGGGTGATGCTGGTGGAGAACGGTGCCTGGTCGGACGTGGGTTTTGGACCGGGTTCCCGGTCAGTGGGGAAGGGAAGTGGGGTCAAGTGGTGCCACGCAGGGAACGACTGGAGGCCCCATCTCTTAACATCTTCCTGGTTCAAAGTGACCGTACTTGATCACCTGGTTGGTTCGGTCACTTATTAAGCCTCCTGTTTGGGTCACGAAAAGGAACCTTCAAAAGGTCACGTACTGAAGAAGCTGGTTGAGTAGTAGGTCATTGACAATCAGTTTGACCTCTACTGACCTTTGTTTCAGCTTTCAAGATCTTTCAACTGTGGGTCAAGGGTCCGCCGAAAGCCATCTAAAACAACCCTACGTTGCTGCATGATGCTGCGAGATGCAGCTCTTCTGCTTTTTTCCAGCCGGCTCGGGCTGCTCCTCCAGCCATAGCCCCTGACATCGGTCTGAGCAGTGCAGCGAGCGACGCGCCGAGTTTTCCGGACGGGTCGAAAAAGGCTGGCCGTAACCTGGTGGGAGTTGGAATCGTGTATCTGATCTGGAAGATCCCAGATCAGAACAACATTGGGTTTGTCCTGGTGCTAATTATTGCCTCTAACAGGACCTGTAAACAATTATCACTATTTTTGGTGCAATGCCTTTACTAACCATCATCATCCACTGAGGCCCAGGATAGATCGGATATATAGACGCAATATCTAACTGTAACTAGTAACTAGAAACAAGCATCCCAGCTTTGAACGCAACTTCTAAACTGGGGATCCGCTCAGGCAGCATTTTTAGAGGGTCTGGGTGAGAAGGCTTGTGAGATGAACATGTCCACGTTTGGGTACATGTTGAAGATGTTGAATCGATGGCTGCAAACGGGGCGAGCTCACCCTCCCTTTTCCGGTACCGGTCCCTCGATTTGGAGGGCCTGGCCTGCTTGCCTGCTTTTTTGCCTCTCCAAGCGAAACATGTTGAAACCAAACATGGGTAGAGTAGAATCATATAGAATTTACTCTACCCATGTTATAGACACTTTGAGCCGTTCCTTATTATAGACACTTTGAGTAGGGAATCAATCCATGAATGTACGTACTTGTTTGCCGTTCCTGAGACACTTGCTTAGCTCGAGGTAGGTTACACTTTGACACTGGTTCACATGGAAGAGTGAGGGAAGCCGTTTTTTAGTTCGAACAACTCATCCTCCCTTTGCATAGCATCCACAAGAGATATCAGACTATCCATCCCTGCTTCTTCCAAGACATCACGGATTGTCCCGATGTCATCCTGTCCATCCTTATCCTTCCTCTTCAGCTCTCTGACTGGATCCCAAGGATTTATTGCAGCACAGGAGGGGCGAGCCGGCGTGCCATTCGGGGGATGACCTGGGAAGGGCCAAACATGTACTTTCACGGCACCGGGGCACTGCAACACCCGAAAAGGAGTGTCCAACAAGTGGTCTGAATGAGCATCCCGACCTTCTTTAGCCTACAGGCACCCAAAAGGCATAGATGTTTGTCGCTCAAGGGTCCACTGTGTTCCTGTCCTAAATGAGGCCAACGACCAACATGATTACTGGATTTTACTACAACCAAAGCATTTCGAAACAAATGAAAGGCCAACACCGAGGTTCTTTTCTGAACCGTCCTCTCCGGTCGTTTCTTCTCCTTGCCGCCCGAACTCGGCCGAACGCCGAGAGTCAGATGCCGCTCCGCCTCTCGAGGATGGAAAGGAGGACGCTGTCCACGATGCCTGGCAAGAGAGCCATCGGCTGCTGCTCAAGCTCATTGAGCCTGAGAGATGTTTGAGCGCTTTTCCTTTGCCCAAAGCCGCAAAACAGCCGGAGATGTTTTGTGGGGGACGGATGGAGGCCAAGGACGTTTCAGTTTGGGCGACCCTGTTTCACTGATGTTTGCATATTTTGTTGGTACCTTCCTAACAAAAACAAGGGTGACATTGATCCACAACAAGTACTCGTAGAACCAGTAGGTTTCTCAGAGAGACCAAACATGTGAAGATGACGAATCGACGAAGATACTGAGGAGACCATGAGCGAAGGTTTTTTGTTTTGTTGCACCACTCGGTATACGGTCAGGTCATGGTGAGTGCTCAGTAGGTGGGGATGGGGGATGTCATCCACCATGTGCCGCGAAGGAAAGAAACACTAGGTAGGTCAACGGTCAACCGGCCAGGCCTGACTGGTGCCATGTTCCACAGCCAGGGTCAGTTTTGTCCACTCAGGAGAAGACCATGACCAACCTCGACAAGCCGACGAGGCCGCGACGCTTCGCGTAATTAACGCGTGTTTTTTTGTGCGAGGGCTGTGTCGCAAGACAAGCGACACGGGTCAGTCTCAGAGTGGGCGAGGGGCGAAGTTGGGTAGCTCCAAAAGGCCTAAAAACCGACGACCGGCCTGGTGAGCTCCGTGGATCAGTCACCGAAACGAAGGTAACGACAGGGTCGCCCAAACCGGAGTACCATGTAGTAGTTGCCATCGTCGCTGCGGGGCGCCTGGTGTTTTTCTTTGTTTTTTGGTTGTGACACGGATTTTCACAACCGGGCGTTGACATTTTTGCTGTTTCTTGTACACGTGCGCGATGCTATGGGTTACTGTATGTTAACGTTCATGTTAACTGAGGTGGGGTGGGGCATGTTAACGTCCATGTTAACTGAGGGTGGGGTGGGGTGGGGTGGGGCATGTTAACGTTCATGTGCACTCGCGTGGGATGTTGATGCTAGTGGGTGTTTCGACGCGAGAAGATGCGTGGATCATCTCAGGAGAACGTTGAAGCACTCTCCAAAATGTGGAACACAAAGTAGTTTTGGCAAGTGCTGAAAATAGTGTGCGCACGTGCACCGCAGGGTGACTGGCGGCGTCATGATTGACTTGCCAACAAGACAAGGCGCCTGGTGGCGTCGTTCCCATGTAGTTAAGCACGTCTTGCCTAGGTCTATGTACTACATATGTACCTAGGGCAAACGGCAAGCGACTCAAATTGGCAATCGCCGATTCTATGCAAGAAACAAGGGGCTTCAAGGCCTATAGGATCCTATAAGGGTTTACATGCAACTGACTCCTATCAGGGTTGGCTCGGCATCCCTCCCAAAGTCACCAAAAACAATCAGGTTCCCCCATGGTTCCCCCCAGCCGGCTTCTGGCTGCCCATCCGGCGTTGGCGTCGCGAGCTTTTCGGAAGGCAGAAGATCATGTGCGCCATCACGCTGGACGCCCACAATCGAGATGTGCAAGAGCGCCACTTGGGCAATCGCTGAGGGTTGCAGAAGAATCCGAGCGGCGCTGGCGGCGCTTTGGGTGCCCTATCGATGGAGACATAGAGACATATATTAGCTATATATACACGTATACTGTAGGGCTGTCCAGCTAGGTAGTATGAAGATAACATTTGCAAAGGAAGGACGCACTGTGAATGAAGGTGTGATTGTCTTGGGCGGAGTCCAGAGGTGATCTCCAGAGATAATTCTCAGGGGCTTTGTTTGTGAAGCTGGTAGACACGGGTAGACAGGAATAACCATTCACGCGGAGTTGTGTTTGACGGCTACAGTGGCTACAGGGCAGCCTTTAGATCTCCAAGGTCTTCAACTTGAGCACAGCTCAAGAATTGATATTCACAGGGAGCATAGCAGCATAGCCGCTAGCCTTCTGAAAACTCAGCAAAATCACCCATTCTAGTTAGTGTTGCAGGAAGATACCCTGGAACAAACAATGGATGTTGTGTCGGGAAGATTCTGCAGGTCATGCAGGATGTTTGACTTCAACCGTGACATAGTTGTTGGAATTCGGACTTCACCTAGGACTGCCTAGCAGTGATTGTTCACCGGTGTTTGTGGAGTCTTGTGGCCAACACTGCCTCCATGAGTTGAATGGAGCCAGTCAAGGTCTAGAGATGGTCCGGGGAGAGAACACCCAGCCATTGCAGGTCTGGTGCAAGAAAAGGTGAGTAGCAAGGATGCCTTCCAGTGGCAGAGCATGTTGAAGTGCTACTGGAAAGAGGACGTACGGCATACGTGACAGAGCACGTCACCGGAGCATGGAAACGCAAAAAAAACACGATGCAGTGCTATGGTGCGTGATATGGGGCCGCATTTCTCAGCCGTTCAGATACCCATACTGTGAGGCTACATTGTTCTACTGAATGGTTCCTTTGGGTTCCGATGTGTCTCATTTTCCGACGCACACAAGCAGGATGTGTACAAAGGCGACCAGGTACGCCTGCCGTGTGTGTCGTGTATCATCCGTATGTGTCGTGTTTGTGCCATGTGCTGCATATTTGCTTTTGGGATTCGACCACTGAAATGGCCAGGTCACATGAATGACCTCTTTGAGGATACCAATAGAAACACAGGCACTGACAAGCCCAAAATCACATCTTTTGGGTCGGGTAGGGTGGAGGCAAGAGATTCAGATCTGACCTACGGTTTTCTCCACTCAGTCAGGCAATTTTGAAACTTTTTGGGAGGAGCCACTGCAACAGTTCCAATATGTTCCCAGGAACTCCAACCGGTTGACATGTCTTCCTCATATCTTCCGGTCATGTTGACTCAGAGGGGCCCAGAGGGAACGGTACAGGGCCTTCGGGCATCCACCCCTGGCAGGATGTTGATGATGCATCCATGGAAATTGCTGATGCGAAGTTGCTCTACGGCTACGTGTCTTGGAGCAGTAGCTCGAAAGTCTTTCATCTTAAGGAAACGCGTGGGGGGTTTTGGTGGAAAAATCAGACCAGGGGCCATGAATCCACTTTCAGGTCAGCGAGTCGGAGTGTCCTTTGACTTCCAAAATCTTCCAAAAGCTTTTTCAACATATTCCAGAATCCTCGTACTATTTGGGTCTCATTTTGTGTCCCTGTTCCTGGCCCAGCTCAGATGGCGGCACACCGGCTGAGGAGTATTTGGGCAACGGGCCGCGTTTGGTGGTCACCCCACTGACCGATCGAATCTATGTGACCGCCACGCAGGAGAGGGCCGGGCAGTCGACATCGCCATGACATGTGCGGCTCGACCGGGCGACCGGTCGAGCCGCACATATGCCAACATTGGATGCCGGATGTCTTCTGGCTGGACTGTGGAAAGAGCAACAAACATTCTGCAGAGGTGGAAGATGTACTGCAATAAGGTCAGGTCTATGAACATGATCTATTAGAAGTGCAGGACACGAATGTACACGAGTATGTTCCATGGGAGTCTTCTCGCATGCTCGCAGCGGCAGGCATTGCACTTGTGCATGGGCTGCGCACCGGCCGGCCCTGCGGGCACTGGAAAGACTGAGAGTACCAAGGATTTGGCGAACGCCGTGGCCAAGGTGCCACACCTGAAGGTTTGGGTATATTTTGGTGTAAATATTTCTTTGCGGAATTTTGGTGTCTCACGGTGGGTGACGGGTTCCGAGACCTCGTTGAGCATTGAACGACAGGTTAAAAAGACACATGAAAAACGTCTACTCTTTGGCCAGTCCTGACAGAGTTGGCGAGGTTGCTGTGCTAACATGTTCAGTCCTGACATGTCGATTTTGTCCAGAACATGCACTGCAAAAACATGAGTCAAAAGGGTCCTTCATGGTCTACACTGAAGACCGGCTGTTTCACTTGTTAAACCTGTTCAACTAGGTCAGGCACGCCAGGCACGCCAGGCACGCCACCACGGTCCACCCCGCACGGAATGTTGCTAAAGCTTTCCACAACATGCATCGCAGAACTTGCTTGCATCGGCATCCGCTTGCACTGCACTATCGAATTCTAGAAAGCATTCCACCACTTGTAGCAGGAAAAATAGCAAACAGGGTAGCGGGTATGTTTAACAACCTCAGCTGCACAGGGGCCAGGCTCTCCATCACCTTGGACGTTTGCAACTCCCTTGTTCTGCTCGCCATGCGAGGCGTGCTACGTCATCAACGCAGCACCAGAGATGGACTACTTGACCCTGGGCGATATCTACAAAGGCGCCAGGGAGGAGGGGTGGAGTTTCGTTTCCTCCTCAGCGGAGGATTGTTGGAGACACCTAGAGCCGGAAGAAAGGTGGGCAATTGTATAATCAGTATTAAGTATGTATTTGATCAGGACATATCAGGATGATTTCATATACTGTAGTATTTGTCCATTCCCCTCAATCAAATCCAGAGTGATACGACGATTGTCGCATCTTGCTGAAGCAATTCGTTTAGGACCGGCAATTCGCATAAAGTTAAGGACCCCTCACAGCTTCCCCCTTTTTCATCATGGCTTACTCCCATGCAAATCATCCGCAAAACAACGTCCGTCGCGAGGGCTCTCGGCGAGTGGCTCCTGGGGTTGCTTCGATGAGTTCAACCGATTGGTGCCCGAAGTGCTCTCCGTGTGTACCGTCCAGTTCAAGGCGCAGAGCACCGCGCGAAACCGAGCATGCGGGAGCTCTTTATACGGTCTGACCACCGCGAAAAGACGTTGTTTTCAACTGGAGAAAAGACCAGTTGATGACTAGAGTGGCCTGTTCAGGGCCTGAAAGACTAGGACGATGTGAAGTGATCTCAAGAATCCTGCAGATTGTGGCTTTGTCGCCAAAAATGGGACCCAGAAGGTGGCTTATTTATCATGGATTTTTGTTGTCCATAAAGCTGGTGAGCCAATCAACCAGTGGACGTGGCGGTCTATGTTTCTTGTTTCCTCATGCGGTCTAGGCTTCTCCAGGGTGCAGTCCGCCAGTGCCCACAACACAAACCCGGCCCACGAGGCACTACTGGGCATCCCCATGAGTGCTCTCAAAAGACCTGTGGGTCAACAGCAAAGATCACAATCCACAGTAGGTGAGCAATCCCCACTACGCCGCTACGCCATGCTATGCCCTTTTGTTTGTGTTCACGGACCCCACAAGGCAGGAGGTGTTGATTCACCGCAAGAGAGGGGTAACAGTGCTCTTTGGACCAATCCACGTGCGAAACCCAGTGGGCCCCTTGCCGCGCGTTTGATGGCTCGCAGGCGGTGTGTGATGCCATCAGGGCCAAGCAGCAGCGCTTCATGTTGCAGGGTGATGAGATCAACCTGAATCCCCAGGCCACGGGTGGTGCGTGCGCACACACACACACACGAAAAAAAGGATGCAGACCATTCCGCCAACTTGTGATACCCGGATGCGGAATGGTCGGATGCGGATGAACCCATTCGGTTGGCCATTCCAGCTCAAGAGTGCGTGCTTCAACGCCTAAGGTGGGGTGCTTCATCACCATGAACCCCGGTTACTTGGGCCGATCAGAGCTGCCAGAAGGTCTCAAGGCCCTCTTCCGACCGATCACTGCCGCTTGGCCTGGCCGATCACGCGACTCACACCTCTCTACGGCGACCGTCGGTTTCTTACGTCATCTGACGTCCGTAGAGGTGGAGCTGGAACCACGGCCAGCCCTCGTCTCGAAACGGACCGTGTTTTGCCAAGGTGATGGTGCCCGATTTCAAGCTCATCATGGAGAACATGTTCATGGGCGCCTCACCTGTGGACGGAGGACCCAATTTCGGTGTGGGGAGGAGGGTGGTTTTCTGATTAAATGGAACGGCATGCTTTCGGGGTCAAGCTGCTCCTATATTGACACCTGCGACTTGTGATCAACAGCTTGCTTCTCCAAATCTCTCCCAAGGACAGGTTCCTCATTCTTTAACAGAGCATTGACAACATGAATGCATTGAAGGGCCATCCATAGTTGCGCAGGCGAAGCATGTCGAAGCGGGGTGACACCACTTTGGTTTAGTAGCTGCACACAGTCTGTATAAGAACAAAGAAAGGCGACTGCTCCTGTCATCATTGCACAGGGGGACTCTCGTCCCATGAGCCGCTCTGGCTGCTTTCTCTTTGAGCTTTCGCCTAGAATTGGGTGCCTATCGATCACACTCTACACTCCCAAGTAGGGGCAGCGGTTTTTCTTGACACATGCTAGAACATCGCAATACTTTTTATGACTCCTTCATGCTTTGGACGTATTGATGAATATATTGAATAACATTGAATCTGTATGAATCTTTTGAATCGTTCAATCGATCTACTCCAAGTCACCCTTCCAAAAAGGAACCACCTCCCTTTGACCCGTCTCCCTTCGACGAACCCACCGCCAACCCCCCAAGCGGCCACGACCGAGGCGAAGGTTTCACCGAAGCGAAAGCCTTGGGTTTGAAGTTCTCAACGCTCTACGCGTTGAACAAAGACTTGCTGAGCGTCTTGGCCATGAATGAGCCGATGTGGGTCTCGGTTTCTGAGAAAGGTGTGTGAAGTCCAGTGGGTTTGCGAAGTCCAAAAGCTGTTTAACAGCTGTCGGGTCCATGACGGTTCATGCACCGACCGAAAAGCTGGATATCTTGGTCACTGTGGTTTCTTGGAGCCGATCTCGAGATCATCCAAGATCGCCTTCAGAACTTGACGAAAACAACACGAGATCGAGATCGGGGTGGAGTGAGACAGATCATGTGGAGGGTGAGACAGATCATTTTGGTTCCCCCGATGGGGCGGTTTCAGCATGCAGTACTCGGTTCGGATTGCAGAACCAGTTCCCACGGGGTCGAATCGACCAGGGGCTCCTGCTTCGGTGTACGTTGGGCTGATTCTCTTTATGGGTCAAGTAATCAGGCACCCTGGTGGTTCCCGCAGATCTTCCTCATAATTGCCATCCTGTACCGGCCCAGTGGGTCAACGCACCAGTTTAACCAGTTCTTTAGTAACGCACCAGTTTTTAGCAAAACGGGAGCTGGAAGCGTAAAACGGCCGTGAAAAGGACGTGAACAACCCGTGAAAAGCCCGTGAAAACACGGTGAAAGGCCGTAAAAAACCGGTGAAAATTAGGTCTTGGAAGTTGGGAGGTGAAATGCGTCCTTTACGCTAACGCACCAGTTTAACCCGTCCTTTAGACTTGCTGGGCGGGTTTGGGAGATTCCAGGCGCCCGTTGATATCCATTGATCCAAAAAGGGAAATGCCTATATGTTTTGTCTGACGGTTTCCCAACTTGCTCGAAGAGATTTGTCTGATGTGGACATCCAAAGTGTCCAGAGGGCCAGGCCATGCATGAGGCCATGCAGTTTCCCTCACCAGGTCCGTGATTTCGCAAATCCAAGGCCAGTCCAAGAAGTACGCCTGGGGCCCCGGCCATGGTGATTCTTAAGCATTCGCCGACGTACGCTATATGGGATTCATGCGCCAAGCAGTCGCCCGTGCGTGGTGTAGCAGCTCAGGTGGGCTTCCTCCCTTACGCTATATGGGTAGCTAAGAGACTTTTGCAGACCTTCAGCCAACAGACAGTAGCTAAGTAGCAAAGTGTTTAGTGTTTGGGATGTTATATATATATATATCTACATATAATACTTATATACTGTATATACTATATTATATATAAATACATAAAAATACATATAATATTTGTCTATTATTTTTACGAGTCATGAACACTAGCAGGAATACAGAGGGATGCTTTATGCACAGCTGGGGGGTCTATGGATGTGTATATGGTCCACTCAGCTGAAGCCGAACGGATGAAAACTGCAAGTAGGTGTTGCTTGACGTCTTCATATGTTTTTCTTGTTTCGCTCTCTTGTGCGATACCAACATAGGTGGAAGCCAATTTGATTCCCTCCCCCACTTAGAGTTACTGTAGAACCTTCCTGAGGCCAGGCAATTTTCAAGCTCACCCAGTAATCCTTCCCATTCATCTTGGTGAACAGTTTGTGACTCGTCACTGCTCCGCAGACTTTTCCGAAGGTCTTGTTGTGTTTGTCTCCCAAGAAAGTGCATAAGCGCACTCACGGATGTCCACGCGCAAACGTTGCGAGGACTGGGGTATGCGAGCCATCAAATCCGTGTTGGTGGTGGCCGGAGGCTTTAAGCGCGCCCTGGTTGTGATGAACTGGGATGGTCCGACTGGGATGCTGGGAATAGCAAGTACTAAGTACTACACCCTTCATGGAGAAGCAGAAGGATTCGATTGTGTGAAGGACTTGGTAAGTACTACTACACTTGCATCCAGGCCGTCATAAGCCGTCTATTCCATTGTCAGATACTTTGTTGGCTTTCGTGCGTGTGTGTGTGTGTGTGTGTGTGGTGACCCTGTGGTCAGACGGGGAATGGCTGACGCAGATGACCAGGTTCTTCCTGACAGGGACCAGTGGTTTTGATTGGAGGAGGTCCCAGAACATGGCATAAATGGTGTTGTGACCGGCGTGCCGACAGATAGCGTTTTGCAACCCAAACCATGCTGATTTGCTTGGTCCCTTGGGTAAACACTTGGACCGAAACTGTGAGGCCAGGAGCCCTAATAGCAAACATTGTTCCTAGTAGCGATGCCAGGAGCCCCTAGTAGCGTCCATGCTCCTAAAGAAGGATGCTCCCAAGATCTCCCAAGCTTCCATTTGGCTGTGAATCATGGCACCTCAAACCCACCAAACCATGGAAGGTTGACTGAGGTTGACTCCCCTTTGCTTTTTGTTTGGTGGTCAATCAGGATGGCCGGGTTTTGACTCACAGCCCATTTGCTGTGCTGAAAGCGTGCTTGGAAGGTCTCAGAGCGAGACTCAAAGAGGTGACTGCGCTACCACAGTTAGCCAGTGCTTGGATGGATCAAAATGATGTCAAAAACAGCGATTTGCCACATGAATGCCCTTTAGGGATGGATTGGACATCCTTCAAAGACAGGTTCCCTATGGCTCCCTTGTCTCTCTCTTTGTGCCTTCCTTGTCTCTCTTGCGGCTCTCCAAGGTGCTGACCCGAGCTTGTCAGAGCAGGCAGTGCTCATGCGCTCCCTGCGAGACACCAATGTGGCGAAGATCGAAGGCGATGACTTGCGAATCTTCATGGCGCTGCTCAAGGATCTCTTCCCAGGCGAAGATCCGATCTGCGGGAAGAGCGCGTGGACCTACGATTTGTCCTGACATGTGTTGGGTCTGCCAGAGTACCTGTAACAGGACCTGTAAACCATTATCACAATTTTTGAACAAGGCCTTTACTAACCAGCAGCCTCCACTGTTACTGGTAGTAGGATAGATCCAACACATGCGCATCTTTATGCGAAAAGATGTAGATGTGGGTTGGCTTTGTTTCCTTTGCACACCCCCCGGAATTGATTCATGAACGTGGGAAAGCCACCTAATGTCCACCTTTGATGAATAAACAAGGGAGCCCACATACAAAAAAGCACAAAAAAGCCGTATGTTTAACCCCCCCAGATTTCCAAAAAGGACATGCAAAAAGCAAAAGAAATCTGATCGTTGTGGAGAGGTTCTAGAAGTGAAGGCGCAACGAAGGCGTTCCCAGAAGGGAACACTAATGTGGCACCAACACTGGGTGCAAAGCTGCAGCCTTTTTGGGTATAGTGGCGATAGTGGGGCAGTGGCAAACAAACAAACATGAATAGTAGGAACATGATTGGCAATCCCAATCGAACAGCAATGAACACCATGTGCACCAGGAAATCTACAGCTGAACCATCAAAGCACACAATAAAGACCAGCGCAAATTCCAGCAACCAATCAACTATGAATAGGAAAATGAAAATGATCGAATCTCTATGAGACAGCGATGAAAAAGCAGTCATGTGCACCAGAAATCTGCTGCTGAATCAGCAAAGAAGACAATGAAGACAAGATAAGACAAGCAAATGCCTGCAAGTTCCGCAAGCCGTCAAAAACGAATTGGACAATGAGTATTACCTAAATACCACATAGACAAACAAGGACCACGGCTGATACGCTGCCCTGTAACTGTCAACTCTTTCTTTATTGGTTGTTTTCGTGTCCGTGCCATTGGTACTTACAGTACCAGTAGTGTGTTTGAAGTGTGTTCCAAGATGCATCAAATTCCTCACGATTTCGCCAGGAAAGTGGCTGCCGCATGTGTTTCGCTAGCAAACCGCTCATTTTGGTTTTGATACGTTTTGAGTGTTGGAAACACAGTTTGGCAATGCCTTCTTGTAGTTTTGTTGATCTGCAAAGTGCCTTTCTTGTACTTCCAGAGCACGAACGAAACCACATCAATGAACGGACCAAGCCACCCAATCCCACCCCCAAGCATCTTCTCTCATCATATCAAGAATTCATCACCATCGTGTTCTACTACTCGTGCGAACGAAACCACCACCACCCTCCAGCTTTGTTCAGGGAAGCCATTTGTTGTTTTTCAAAATTGCATCAAGGATTCATGACATGGGAATGTCGGAATACATAGAAGCAGATTCGCAGCCAGCCAGCGGTTTTGTCGGATTCACTGATGGCACTTCCAGCGGCTATTTGCAAAGCTGGCTGGGCTTGGAAACACTGCAGCATAGTCATACATGTGTGCGTTGGTTTGATGTGCGCTCCACAGGGTCAGTAGATCTGGCATCCAAGCTTTGTAGCGACTGGGATGAATCGCTCTTGAACAGACTCAGACGTATAGATCCCAACTGCTCCTCCAAGAAAATGCTTGCTGACGCCAGCTGGCAGAGGGCCTCCTCGACCTGCTTAGAAATTCGTTAGTTATTACCATTGTTCCTGATTTGTGAGGGAGCCTTGAAGCATTTTGAAGCGCTTTCCTGGTCATTTGTCCACTTGGTCAAATCCCGTGGACTCTCTGGAACGAAACTCAGCATGACCTGTCCCATAGACATGTTTAATGTGGCATCCCGGCATCCCCAGATTTGTTCAAACCCACACTTTCGAAGGCATTGATGTCCCTCGTGCACGAGATTATGAGATGGAGGAGCAGTTGTTTGTCTTTCTCTACGTGCAACTGCTGATTTGAGAGCAAACCTGCACGACTGCTGGAGTTGCTCCTAATTCCAGGTGTTGCAAGACCTCGACATCCCTGGCTCCCTGGCCATGTCTCAGAGGGATAAACAAAATCCACCCGAGGGGTCCCACGTCAATGAAAGGAGCCAAAGACAGTCTATATAAGAAATTGGGATAAGGAAGTGGTTGGTTCACAGATCCAAACAAGAATGGTCTCCCAGGACCCTTGGTTAGTTGCGATGTTGTTCATTGTGGAATCCCTTATTGCATTATGGAAAGTTATGTTTTTGTATTTTCTTGATAGGGATAGCTAGAAGGACTCTGTAGTTTGTTTACCAGAAATTCTTAGCAATGCAATGACCATATTCAAACGCAGTCAATAATTGTGGTGGCACATTACACAGTTTGCGAGTACAGAAACGTTGGCAGCAAAAGTTGTAGGACTGGGAATCAAGCACTGAACATGTCATTCGGTGTCATGTATGCATCAAAACTTTTAAACACCATGGGCATTGGCGTGTTGACCCCGTTTGCCGCTTCAAAAGAACGCTCGCAGGAAGTTTTGGTGGATGTAATGCAGGCCGCGTGCTTGCTTGCTTGCTTCCTACGTCAGACTGGAAAGCTAGATTCACTTCATGTTCTGAGATGCTTACCACTCCTCCAAAAAACATGGAAGTGGAATGCCCCGCGGTTGTAGATAAAATCAATGAACCTTGTTCTTGCAACAACGTCCTCTTCAACGTAGGCTGTGTCCAAACACACCGCCAGATCGTGCCGAGCACCAATGCAGGCGGATTATGGCTACACCCACGATCCTGATGGCTATTTGTTGCTGAAGATCACCCAGCTCATCGAGTTGCTGGGTATTCGCCACTGTGTGCCTTTGGCGTGTGTGCCGGGGGGGCTTTCGGGTGGAAAAGGTGGGGGAAATGGAAAACGTGATACTAGTTCAGACCCGAATAGGATCACTCAGGTCCAGGCAAATGGAAAGCCTTGCATCTCACCTTAGAGGCCATGTTCTTTTCATGTCTTAAGCTTTTCCTGGCTGCATGGTGATCAGGGTGAAACTTGCGAATGGTTGGGTGGGATTTCGGATTTTTGACATCTGCCAGGTCTTCTTGATGGGCAATCCTGGAAGCTTCAAGTCCGCGATGTGGAGCCTTGACATCCCAAAAAGGTAGTTCCCAAAAACCTGGGTCTCAAGGATGGTAAAGAGGTGGGTGGGGGGAAGGGGTGCAATATCGGAATGCGCAGGACGTCCAGAGTTGGGATTCTTATGGCTTTGGAGATCAGAGGACGTCCTTTTGGAGATCTTAGCAAGCAAACAGGCTAGTAAGGCACCTCGCTACTAGTAACTAGTAGTTTTTTTTTGTTACATCTTGTTACTAGTAGCGATGCACCTTGATACTAGTAGCAAAGGGAAGAATCTCGTCCACCCGCGTCTTGCGGCTCGGGAAGCGACACAGTGGTGAAACACCCTGTTTCACCTTGCTTCTGGATGAAAGTCTGGAAGAGTTGGATGAGTCGAAAGAGCTTCAAATATAGCATCATATAGCATCACTGTCACACATGATGTCATCAACAGTGATGCTGTCTGAGGAAGGTCTTGAAGAACGCCAAGACCCGTCGTGGTGAGAAGACCACCACTGTGGACTTCAGCGGCCCGACCGATCGAAGTCCGACTCTGTTAACTACATATGTTACTAAGTTATATGAAGCATCGTTACTAACGATGTTATAGCTATAATTACTTCAGTCTAACATAGTCTAACTATAGCTATATTAACTATACATTATACTACATTGCATCATGCTTTTGGAGAGGGAGAGAGGGATAGGGATGGACGCTTTGTTGGCCAGCAGCATCACATATGACATATGTGTTGGAGCTTATCCATTTTGCATGAAGACCGGCAACATCATCTTGCGCCTCGGCATGGTCCACGTGCCTCGGACCCGTTCGGAACGACGAGCACGGTCGGGTCTCCAAGGTCCGAAGGCCATCTCCACCAACGAGCTGTATGGCTTCGTCAACATGCAGACACGCCACTGAGCTGGTCACAACTCATGGGTGATGGAGATTCGGACAACCGCGGCAAGGTGTTGAACTGATAGGGCAAGATGGGTTTGGGCTTTCCATGTATCAGTGTATATAATCAATCATAGGGATGCATCAGGATACCCATCTTTCAGGGTCGAACGTCGCGTGTGGTAGTATTGCTTTGTTTGCCGCTGTGCATCCTTAGACCTGAACACCACCGTGTCCAGGGCAGGTATGCAGTAGAACCCACTCGAACAATGACGGTTCACTGGGTCTTGGGCCTTGGGTGGCCATGGCATCGCTACTAGGAACAATGTTTGCTACTAGGGGCTCCTGGCATCGCTACTAGGAGCATGGACGCTACTAGGGG